CTAATAGCACTAATATAGCCCACCTGTTCCAAAAACAGGACAAGAGGGGCGCCTGGGTGGCTCAGTTGGTTAAGTGACTGCCTTCGGCTCAGGTCATGATTCCAGGACCCCGGGATCAAGCCCCTCATGGGGGTCCCTGCTCACCGGGGAGCCTGCTTCTCCCTCTGCCTCTGCCACTCCCCCTGCCTGTGCTCTCCTGCTCTGTCAAATAAATAAATAAAATCTTTAAAAAAACAAAAACAAAAACAGGACAAGAAAACTGCTCTTCAAGTCAATGAAAAACATAAGCAAGCAATCAGAAAAATTAATGCCAAGGACATAAATAAACCTGCAATTCACAAAAGAAATTAAAATCTACATAAAGCTAGGCAAAGATGAAATTTATAGGGTTGTGTAAGGATAAATGAGATCATGTACTTAACATAATGTTTTATATACAATAAATGAAGCTATTAAAATATAACTAATTAAAGAAATACAAATTTAAATAATAGAAATATATATACATATGAACGTTATATATATTCATAATTTATATGATTATATTCTATATATATTATTACATGCAGATAAAATCTGTACACATAAAATCATTTTTGAAAACACTGAGAAAACTTCTGAGCCCAAAGTTGACAAAACATGGAGAAAGAAATACTGTCATAATTTGGTAGTAGCAGTGTAGTGGGCATGTCCTTTTAGGGAAACACTTTGCTAGTATCTTCTAAAGGTAAAAAAATGTATATGCAAAAATCTTAATTTATATATTTAATATAAAGCATAATTGTATACATTTATATCAATCTAAATATATATATGTATATATATATACCCTTGAGTGATTTCACTGCTCAAAATTCATCCTACAGAATTATTAGCACAAGTATACAAAGATACCTATACATGGATATTTACTGCAACAATGTAATAGAGAAAACCGGAAATAATCCAAAAGGCTACCAAGAGTTGAACAAAGGTAACCGAACATTATTGTGCAAAATGTGGTGGATGTATATACACTGACATGGACGACTGTCTAAAAGAAATAATAAACTGTAAATTTTTTAAAAAAAATTTTAAAGGAAGGGAATAAACCAGTTCAGGACTATTTAATCTGGGGTCTTCCATATACATATGGTTCAAGAGAACCAAAACTGCATGTAAAATTGTCTATGTATGTAAGTACATTTTCTAAGGAAAGTGTCTGTAGCTTTTATCAAATTCTTAAAGGAATATGTAGCCTCCTGGAAAGGGTCACTAAACAATCAGGAAAAAGCATCCCAGCTCTGAGTATCTAAGAAATGTAATTAGGTTATACTCAAGTGAGGAAGACCTTGGGGAGGAAAGAAATGCTCTCAATTAAACTCTTAAGAACATATTAAATGCCTCTACCACAAAACACAACATTTTATTTCAAAACTCCTAAATCTAAGGGTGTGAAGGAAGTTACTCGTCAGATGAGCTTATATTCACTAATTACAAACCTCAACCAAAAATTAAACATCAAAAGCAGTCTTCAAAATGCGTGACTAGTTCATGCTTAAATTACAGTTAAAGTAAGATCATACAGAAGCAAAAGGAGGCAAAGATTAAGTGGTAGTCCCATTTGACACAGTCAGGTTGATAATTATGGACTAGTTACTCACACATATAAAGATTCAGGAGTTATGCAGCCTTAACTAAACTTTATTTTTTAAAGATAAGTCGATTAAAGTAAGACAAAAATAACTTAGGTCTTATACATAATTTTGTGAACTTTCTTTGAGCAGAATAAATAAATAAATCTTTTCCTGGAGGCAGGTTAGGAAGAGGAATCCAATACCTTTAGAACTAATACAATAAATTAACATTTTAAACATTATAGCCACTAGAATCAATGGGACTTAATGAAGACTGAAATAAATGAGTAGAAAGTAGCAGGAATACTCTCTATCCTAAAATGAAAATATATCTTAGGGGCACCTGGGTGGCTCAGTCATTAAGCATCTGCCTTTGGATCGGGTCCTGATCCCTGGGTCCTGGGATCAAGCCTCACATCGGGCTCCCTGCTCAGCGGGAAGCCTGCTTCTCCCTCTCCCACTCCCCGTTTGTTCCCTCTCTCACTGTGTCTCTGTCAAATAAATAAATAAAATCTTTAAAAAAAAAAAGAAAATATATCTTAGAACAGTGGTTCTCAACCAGGAGTAATTTTGCCCCCCTAAGGGACATTTTGCAACAACTGAAAACATTTTTGACTGTCAGAACTGGACGGGTGCTCCTGGTATATTGTGGGTAGAAGCTATGGATGTAGCTCAACATCTCCCAGACTCACCTACCCACTCAAAATGTCAACAATGCCAAGAAGTGGGCTGGAGGAACCACTGAATCAATGCTTTGAGATAATCAACAACAGAAATCCTAAAGCAAGGTTTAGTTATTTGTTTTGAAAGACTGACACCTTATCAAATAGCATGGATCTTATTAAAATGATATAATTTTTGAAGTGTTATTTAAAAGAAAGTTATTAATTGAATTTCCAATTTATCTAAACCTTTTAAATTATGCAAAAGCCATAGGCGAGGAAAAAAAGACAATGAATTAATGCTAAAAGTTTTATACACACACACACACACACACACACACACACACACCCTATCATGCTCACAAGCAATACTGAGCAAAGGAAACCAGACACAAAAGCTACATTTTTGCATGATTCCATTTATATGGTTCAAGAATGGGCAAAAACTGATCTCTTGTTAGAAATCAGAATAGTGGTTCCTCTGGAGAGAAAGAAAAGGTAGAGATGGGAGAGAACATAAGGGGGACTTCTGGAATGCTAATAATTTTGTATTTCTTAATCTGGGTAATGGTTATATAACTGTGTTCACTTTGTGACAATTCGTCAAGCTGTGTACTAAGTAATCAGTGCAGTTTATACAGTTAACGCTTTCACAAAAATGTTTTCCACAAAAATGTTTATTTTTTAAATGTTATGTATTCACACCCTAAAAATCTGAGCACTTTGACCCACAAAGCTAAATGAACGTCAACTGCAAAAGTAAAAGTATTTTTGCCACATAGGCTACCTTCCAAGAATTCAAGAAGGATGACACCCCCAGAAAGCTGTAAATACCATACTGAGTTCATACAGCATTCAGTTGAACACTTAAGCCACCATATATCCCTCGGCACAAATCCAAAAATTTGACAAAGGCTTACAAATGCAGTTAAATTTATTCCATGGACAGTTTGAATTATTTCCCCCAATTTTAAACTGTGAACTGTTATTAGAGAATGCATTCTATGAAACAAATGATGCATTCTCTTTCTTAATCCCACATTTTCCCAAAGCTCCCCCAAACTAAACCCCTCTTGGCCCTCAACTTCTTAGGATTTCTCCAGGCTGCTTGCAACAGTGCCCACCAACGCCTCTCTCAGTATCCATTCTTACAATCCACCTCCCCACACACATGAAAATTCACATTAATGCTCATTCCAGAGGCTGGTCTCCCCTACCAGACTTCTACTCCCTCCCAGGACCTCATAAATACAATCCAAACCTAACTACCCTCAAACTCCTAATACTCTCCAACAACTGGCTTCCCAACAGCACCACAAAACTAGGGCATATGCTAACCCCATCTTTAAGAATCTTCTTCTACCACATAAAAAGCCCTGCTTCTGCACACAATTCAGCTCAGTGGCCACTGCAACTATGATCACCAGTGTCGCTCTCTAGCACCCCCTCTACTGCATTCAAATCCAACCCATTTCCCACCCACCCCCTGCCCCAAACTCTACTTTCTTCTTGAAGAATCCTTCCTAACTACTAGAGCAAGGATATAAAGTTGAAGGAAGAATAAAGGAATGTGCTCCATTCTGAGTGAAGGTAGTTGCCCCAGTGTCAAGCACACAACCATGTGCATGGGCTACAGGGTCGGAGGGCAGGAGTGTGAAACCCAGCCACTGCCCTTCCTAACTGCAAGGCTTTGGGCGAGTGATTTTACATCTTTAAGCCTCAGTTTGCTGAACTACAAAATGGGCAATCATAAAAATAGCGATCTCATAGAGTCGCCAGGATGAAATGAACTACGGGCTGTTGAGCACTTCGCACAAATCCTACGTGGTAAACTCTCAGTAACTGACAGTTTTTCCTAGGTCCTCGTCTCGGAAGAAGGAATACAAGAGAGGGTGAAAAGTACTTTATAAGGGCAAGGGAGTGATGCAGGGAGGAAGTACTGTACACACATTGTGTCAGATCCCCAAACAGCGTTCTCTCTTTATTATCCCCTTACAATGTGGACCCAAGAAGCCCTCAAAGCCCCTGCTAAAGGATGGGGGAAGACACAAATAGAAATATCAAATCCTCCTTCCAGGAAAGTCATTTGAGGGAATGAAGTAGGAAAGTGCCCCCCTAAATTGCTAAAATGAGATCCCTGGGGGTCTGAGAATTAAGAAGGAAACCCCAAAGTCCCAAAGGATTTCTCTTGGGAAGCTGAGGGGAGTACTTCATAACAAGGAGATTAAAAGTAAACGCTAGAAACCATAAAGACTCCTCAACTTCTCCCCTAGGAAAGAGTACTAACTGGTTTCTCCGCAAATGGCTTGAGAAAGGAAAAGCGCTTTCCCGGTCTCTCATGGGACACCCGGGCTTCCCCGGGTCCCCTCCCCGGAGGGATAAGGAGGAGGGTCCGCGCAGGGGAATCCCCAGCCCCCCCAGCGGGGGAGAGGCGGGCTCAGGCCGGGGCCCCCAGGGAGTTCCACTGGGTCTCTTCCAGTCTCTTTGCAGCCGGTCTCCAGTAACGGGATCTCTCCGGGGACTCGGGGATCTCCCAGAGCTTCGGCCATCGCTGGCTCCCTCCCCTCACAATCCTTAAGTCCTCGGTCCGGCGAGTCCTCCCCGGGCACTTCTCCGGGTCTCCTGGCTGGCACAGGGTCCGCCCGCCGCCCACGGGCTCTCCTCCCCGGCCTCCTCCCGCCCCCCCCACCCCCCGCCGAGCGCCGCGAGCCCGCGGGGTTACCTGTTGAGAGGGCAGCTCTACATGCAGGGCCCGCGCGGCAGAACCAGGTGGCAGCGACGAGGCCGGGCCCGGGGGCGGCGGGGGGACCGGGCCCCCGACCGACGCTGAGGCGCTCATCTTAACCCAGGGGCCGCCAAGCGGCGGGGCCCGCGTTCCTCCGGCATCCGCCACCACCGCCTAGCCTCGACCCGCCGAGCCCCTGCAGCCCAGAAACCCGCCACACGAGAGGCAGAACCGCTCTCCTCAACCTCCAGCCGCCACCGCCGCTGGCTAAGGAAGAGCCATATTACCGCAGTGCAACCCCCACCACCCCGCCGAGACCTGGCTTGCTCATTGGTTCGGCTGCCACGGGGGCGGGACCCAACGACAGACAAGGGACGTGCTATTGGGTAGAAGATCTGTCCATCGCCGGCCGGAATGGGCTCGGGGCGGAGGAACCCGGGGTTGGCCTAAATCGCGTCTGTCAAACCCGGGTGAAACCTGGGGCGTTGCTTCTTTTTTTCCCAGTCTAATTGGTTCTTTCAGTACCGTGGGGCGGGCTCTCCTGGCGGATCCGCAAAGGCCATTGCTTTAGGTCGGTGTCAGTTGTAAGTAAGGGGAAGGAGGGGCGGGGTCTGATTAGGTAGAGAGCGTGCCTGGGCTCTGTTGTCACGTGCAGGAGGCAGGAGAGTCACCTGATTAGTGAGAGTCAATCTTCCGAGCCACTTCCGCCCGAACCTAGTTGCCATGGTAACCGGCCTCCCTCGGAGGGCGGGGATCCGTTTGGCGCCAGCTGGGTCGTGATGCCCGATCTACTGTTGCAAGCTCCCTGAGCAGCCTTTTCCTGAGGGGCTCCCAGGAACATGCGGGGACTGAAAAGGAGTATTTTATGGTTCGACAGAAGGCCACCACTCAGGATGCACGGAGACCAGAAACCTGACGGGCAGTCCCACCTGCTCTTCCGTGACCAACTCCAACCCACAAGTCCACGCCCCTCTTCGCACTCCCCTAACTAGTACGCTGAGCTCTAAGGTGTGCCAGGCACCCAGGACGCTGTTTCACCTCTCGGAGTGTGTTGCTTATGCTGTCCTTAGAAAGCCTTTGCTACTTTTCTCCTCCTAGTGCTTACTTACCCATCAAATCTCATCCGGGGGTGGGGGTCCCTTCTTCCAAAAGGCTTTCCTGATCTACTCTGGGAGACTGAGTTAGGAACCTTGCCTCTACCATATTTCTGATTATTCTACTGCATTGTCTTTTAGTAAGTGTGTAACACACACACACACACACACATTGAATTCCTCAAGCAAAAGGACCTTGTCATTCGTCTCTGGATTTCCAGGACCTGCTGGATAATCAGTACATGTTTGTTTTTTAAGTGAAGACCCAGCTCAAATGCCACCTCTTCCACGAAGACTTCCTTGATCATGATGATAGCATATATAGCAATTGCTTCTATAATAAAGAGCATTGAATCATTCTGCAGGATATCAATCTGCCTTCCCCCACCCACCCCCACCCCCAGACTGTGAATTTATCCACCACCTGGACTGGTGTAGCTGAAAGAACACAGTGTTTTAGAATCAGACACAACAGAAATCAGACAGTTTGGGAATCTTGGCTCTGCCACTTTCTAGCTATGTGTTCCTCGGCAAACCAGTTCCCATCTTTCCGCTTTGGTTTTCCCATCTGTAAAATAATAATAAGGTTGCTGTAGGGATTAAGTAAATCAACATATGTAAAGTGCCAGTGAAGACCTCACATATAATAACTGCACTAAAAATAGTTTAATCAAAGGTAAGCATACTATCTTTCCAGGGTGTTCAGAAGCCTGAAGACACTTTGGATCTGACCCCAGGACTGGCTAACATGGATGTCACACTGTCTCCTATTCTGAGACATGGAGTGGTTCCTCATGGGTGTGTGGTCAGGTGTTTGTTGAGAAGGGATTAGTCAGGAAATCCCAAATCTCATGTGGTTCAACTCATGTAGTGCCAAGATCTGGTGGAATTTCACAGAAAGCACTTTTCTGTTTCCAAGCTGTATTAGTTCCCTGAGGCTGCTGTATCACATTACTGCAAACTAGGTAGCTTACAACAACAGCAACAGAATTTTATTCTTTCACAGTTCTAGAGGCCTGTGGCCCAAAATGAAGGTGTTGGCAGGGCCTCACTCTCTCAGAAGGCTCTAAGGGAGAATCTGTCCTTGCCTCTTTCATCTTCTGGTGGCTCCAGGTAGTCCTTATCCTGGGGATGCATAATTCCAATCTCTGCCTCCATCTTCTCATGTCTTTTCTTCTTCCTGTGTATTCTTTTCTTTTCCTTACTAGGACACCTGTCTTTGGATTCAGGGCCCACCCAGATAATCCAGATCTCATTTTGAGATCCTTAATTACAAAGACTCTTTTTCCAAGGAAGATGACATTCACAGGTTCCAGGGATTAAGAGTATGGACTCATTCCAGGGGGAGAGGGACATCATTCAACCCACTACATAGGTTAAGAAAATAGACCTATAAAGACAGAACACAGAATTACTTCATTCCTCTTTGGAGGTCAGCTCTGAATACTAGCCAACTTTATTACTTCGTTCATTCAACAAATTTTCATTGACACAGAGGTGTCAAGCCCTTTGCTGGGTGCTGGGAAATCAGACTCAGACTCATCCCCAGAGGAGCTGCCCTCTTTATCTTGTAGTCCAATAAGTAAACAAAGACTGATAATCCAGTTGCTCAGCCTGAGGAAAGTTCGGGAGCTGTGGAAGCCAGAGAAGAGAGTCAGATTTCCGTCACTGTAGAGGTGACATTTAAACTGGGTATTGAAGGACCAAAGAGTTTACCAGGCAGGAAGGGAGAAAAGGATATTCCAGCAGAGAGAGCAGGATCCATTCTTTCTACAAGCTTCTATTGAGATTCAGCTCTGTACCAAGATGATTACCAAGCACTGAAGATACACACTTCAAGTAAACAACCCTTCTCAGACTTTTCCACTCACATGTCACTAACACCAGGATAGCTGGAATGCTCACCTCTAGGGACAGGACAAAGAAATGAAATACCTGCAAAGTATTCAAGGTAATGAATGTAAAATGTTTTGCACTGTGCCTTGGGTATAGTAAGTGTTGGATAAATGCTATCTATCATTATGTTTATATGTCCTATTTCATTCTAAAAAATCTTGTATTATCTTAGATCCTTTTCCGTAATATGACTATATTTATTTCAAAGGAAGAATATTTCTAATCACTTTGAATTAAAATACTATAATATTTATACAGTGGTATATATCCCCTAGGGAAACTTGTATCCAAGTGTAGGGAACATGGATTCTAAAGTGGCCAAATACAATATACATGCAATGATAGAAGAAAGATCAAGGTCCAGTGGTAACAGAATGACTGACTCTACTGGAGCTGGTGGGCAAAATCAGAGAAGCCTTCACAAAAGTCTTAAAAAACGATTAGGAGGTTGATAGATGAACAACAGGTTAGATCTGTTTGGGTCAGGGATGACTGGTGTTTTAACAGCTAACTAGAACCATGTTGGATATTGAAACCAAGCATTGTTTGCAGGGCCAAAAAGCTAAAGCCACTCCAATCCATTTTACCTCCTCTTCTTCCTCCCTCCTCATTCTCTAGATCTCATGGGTGTGATGCATTAAATAAGTAAGAGCAAGACAAGCCAGGGTGGTCTTTTGATGTCTCAAATTTAATTAAATTAGATCTAGCCCCTTCCTTTCAACAGAGTCCTCTTTCTTCCATTTACTCACTCACTAAGTCAAACAGCATTCAGACCAGTACCAGGTGCCCAGCCAGGGCACTACGTTTACAGAAATAATGCAGATAGAATCCCTGACTGCAAGGAGGTCATGGATAATTTCAGCACAAAGTGGTCAATGCAGTCATTGGGACGATATATAAAGTATAATGGGAGCATGGAAGAGGAAGTTGCTAACTGCTGTGTGTTGTACCAGAAGGCTTTCCAGAGAAGAAAGAGTACTCAAGGCAGAAGCATGAGCTTTGCATGAACAAAGGCCCTGAGGCAGAGGACATGACATTAGCGTAGTTTAAGGTGGCTGAAACAAAGGTTGCATGGAAGGAACAGGCAAAGAGGCCAAAAAGGAAGGGGGGGCCGGTAAAGAAGAACCTGGCTGCTGGGCGGAAGATCTCGGGCTACATCTTAGGCAATAGGAAGTCAGTTAGAAAGATCCTCAGGCAGCCCTGGAGATGCAGGTTTCAAGGCGTAGGATTTGAAGAGCAAGACTCTTGCAGAAACCAGGTGAGAAGTGTAAAAGAAGGAGACCATTCCGCAAAGAGCCTGCACCCACCCAACAAAGGTGGGTCCCTGGGCAGCATTTCTCCTTCTCCTTTCTCAACCCTCCAAGGTCACTTTTTTGGAAAAAAAGCTTCTTAGATGTAGGCTAATGTCTACCTTCTCTGGGCTCCCACTGTGGCTGCCTGACCTCTCTTCAGTACCTGTATCCGCGTGCCTAGTCATACGGTTTGTGTTTGTCTCACCCACTCTACTTTGAACTCTTGCTTTTCATTTCAATCCAAATCCCACAGAGGGCAGGCTGCAGAAGCTTCAACGCACCAATGAATAAAATCAGTGAATGAGTGGACGAACGCTTGAGTAAGGGAATGTTTAGATGACGTGGAGCCTCCATACCTCTCCCACTGGAAACAGCCCCAGAGAGAGGAGGTGAGCTTGCGCAGGGTCACACAAAGTTTGTAGCAAAGCTGAGACAAAGACTTAGGCTTCTTGCCCCCGGGGGCAGCGCTCCTGCCTCAATTCCAGTGGTTTTCACACTGTCACACTATAAATGTGCCAATGTGGGCACCTGAGTTTATGAGTTCATGGGCCAGCCAGGGTGACAAGCATTCGACAGAAGCACATCTAACCCATGGGGCTGATTTAGTGGGAGCCCCAGAGAAAGCTTTCTTGGGAACTGCCTTTTACAGTGAGGTCTAAAGGGTGAGGGGGAGGTAACTGGACAAAGGGGGCTAGTGAGAGGAAGAGGAGAATTCGGGCAGAAGGAAGAGCCTGAAGAAGGAGCATGGAGCATTGAAGGAACTGAAAGGGAAGGCCGGGCGGGAGTAGGCAGAAGAGGCAGCCGGCATGGAGGAGGAGGCGGGGGGAGGAGAACAGTGTTTGAAAGAAACTGATATTTCAAAAATAAAATCAAAGACCTCCTTCAATCTCTTTTACAGTTTTAGGGTTGCTTTCATTTGTCATTTCATAGAGCAGCAGCAGCATTGTCTTTTCAGTGCTTAGAGCTTCTGCAGCTTTAGTCCAGCTCTGATGGCACAGAATAAGTCGGTGATGCTGGCAAGGTCCAGA